TTGGTTGTGCGGCGTCGTTGACTGACTGTCTTGATTAGGGTTTTGAAAACCTTAGTGGATTGGGTTGGATCATGCCCCAAAACCCGCTAAACCCATTAGACCCTGAAAACCATAAATAATAAAAAAATAAAATAAAATAAAGTTAAAAAATAAAATAAATATTAATAATAATAATAAATAAATGTTTAAAAAAATATAATATATAGTTTTACAAAATTATTTTTTAAAAACTATATATTATACGTATTTCAAAAACGTTTTAAAAAACTATTAATATATATATATATATATATATATATATATTCCAAAATGTTTAAAAAACTATATAATATATAAATGTTTTCAAAATGATTTTAAAAACTATATATTATATATATATTCTAAAATGTTTTAAAAACTATATATTATATAGTTTTCAAAATGTTTTAAAAACTATATATTATATTCATTTTCAAAATGTTTTCAAAATTATATATTATATAAATTTTCAAAAATGTTTTCGAAACTATATATTATATTTGTTTTCAAAATAATTTTAAAAACTATATATTATATATATTTTCTAAAATGTTTTAAAAACTATATATTATATAGTTTTCAAAAGTGTTTTAAAAACTATATATTATATACATTTTCAAAATGTTTTTAAAAAGTATATATTATATACGTATTTTTAAAAAACGTTTTGCAAACTATATAATATATATATAAAGATATATATATGTATAAAAAAATATGGACAAAAATGAGTGTCTACATATTGCAACTCATCGCTAATTTTATAAGATAAAATTTATATATGGTCATTAAATTATGTCAGAATTATCCTTTTGAACATTTATTTTTTAAAAGTTACATAATGAATATCAAATCTTTAATTTTGTTACAAAATGGGCATAAAACTATTAAGAAATATCTAAATTGACCATTCAATTATAACTAAAATTTAATTTTACTCTTCATTTTAATTGAAATAATTCTTATTAGGTTAGTTTAATTGAAAATAAAATAGAAATAGGTAAAATAAATATCATCTTTTAATTTTATATTATAAATATTAAAGTTTTACCATATAAATTAAAAATCATTTGATATGATATTATAAAATTATGGATGTATTATTTTTAAATTACATTTAAATTTGTTAAATAAAAGTTAAATGTTTAAATCACTTCATTAATAAAAAATAAATTTATTATTTGATGATGTAAATTTTCGGACATTGAAAATTATAATTTTTTATTTGAGTATATTTTAAAAAAATTATATTTTTTTAGAATTACTACTTAAAATGTTGAAAATTATTAATGTGAAATTTTAGTTATAATTGAGGGGCTAAATAATATATTTTTTTATTAATTTAGTTTGTTATTCACCCCTTAATAACATTTAACCTTTTTATTTATTTTTTAACAAAGTTCAAAGTTTAATGTATATTTCGTAATATTTAAAATTTTAATGTTAAATAAAATCAATTTAAAAAAATTATGACTATTTATGAATTTTATCCTTTTTTATATTAGTGGTGCATTTCAATGAATGTCATCATTATAGACTCATCCCAAAACAAAAGAAACCAAGTAATTTACGACAAATATTTTATTACAATATAATATTTAGATTTTTAAAAACATTTGATAGCAAAATGCATGGGAAAAATGCAAGGATAATGTAAAATGGGAAAAAATTAGTGGTTCTAATATTATTTCCCCATCTAGGACATTTTCTACATAAATACCCAATGATATCTCGGCGTCATCAGTCATGCATAATCCTAAAGGATTACTCGGCGTCTTTAGTTAAAATAGGGTTGGTGTTGCATGTGGAGGTGGTTGGGAATTCACGGCGTCTTTGGTTGAAAGCATATACAGACCAGCTAGTTCGTTCGCGCATTATTCATCAAGTTCACTACAGAAATCAAACTGGGATTGCCAAGATACATGGTATATGCACATTTGTGCATCCATCTCACTGCAACAATCATTTCACTCCAGAATGAACAAACTTATGATGGAAAACCAAATTTCTTTCGTGCATAGTGAATAAAATACTTACTTTCCCAACACTTTGGTGTGTATTTGAGTATAATAATCAACCCTTTTGTGCTTTTATGACAACTCCAATTCCAGGCTTATCCTTTCGAACAAGCCAGTGTTTGGTGTTCCCAGCAGGAAACAACTGTGAAATTCCAGTGTTTGAAGCAGTGTGATCTTTTTGCTTAGAATTGTAATCTGGGTCTGGCTTAACCGATAAAACCTCAGGTAAACCTAGAAAAACTTCTCAAGAAGACGCCTAGAATTCCCGACCACCTCCACATGTAGCAATAACCCTATTTCAACTAAAGACGCCGAGTAATCCCCAAAGATTATGCATGCAAAATTTTAGCCTGAAGACACCGAGATATCCCGGGATCTTTAGACGTGTACTGTAGAAAATACCTTACATAGGGAAATAATATTGGAACCACATTAGAATGAATTTTTTTTCCCATTCTGCATTATCCTGGCATTTTTGCCAAAATGCATGTATATTTATATTAATTAAAGACAAGAAACTAAATTCTTAAGCATCTGAAGGTCAAAATCAATATTTGCTTTAAATAAGAGGTTGGTTCAAGTGATAAGCAACTTGATATCGTTAAGTAATATTTTAAGTTCGAATCCTTGTGTATATAAAAAATCTTTATTAAAATACTCACCCACAAAATTCAAATGTAAGAACTGAGTCAATTTAGATTAGTTAAGATGAAACATTGAAACTAAATAGTAAAAAACTTTTGCTATAGAAAAATCCAAGTACGGTCCAACTAGCCAACTCTGAAGAAGATGTTTCATATTTGCATTTATACATGGCACCGACATTTCCTATGGGCTATACACTTCCCGGCCACTGCTTATTTCACAATCCCCCCCACACACCACCAGATAATATATAAATTAAACTAAATAGAGTAAAGTGCATAAATGATCCTCAAACTATATGATACTACTTAATTGAATCTCACAATTATTAAAAATTACAAAATGGACACTCATTTATTCATATGTTCTGAATTCATCATTTTTCATTAACAATTTGATGACCATCTGAGCTTAACTTTAATTTGTTGACTATGAAATGATAAAATCTGATCTCAAAATTGTTTTAAGTTGTATTTTATAGATCGAAACTTCGTTTACAATATGTTATTGAGCCATTAGTAGGTTTATATAATTTAAACAGACACTCGATCTATGAAATACAACTTAAACAATTCCAAAATCTAATTTTATCATTTCACAATCATTAGATTAACGTCAAACTCAAACGATTGTCATTCTTTTAACAAAAAATGATGAATTTATAACACATAAATAATTGGGTGACTGTTTAGTAATTTTTAGTAGTCGAAAGATTCAAAAAAATAATATTTTATAGTTATGAAATCATTTGTGTACTTTACCCAACTAAATAATGATGTTAACGGGAATTATCAAGTAAAGAAACAAATGGGGTTCATTTTGGCATACACATGACCTAAGGAATGGAGATTGATTTAAGGCCCAAGAGACCATTGATCATATACCTTGTTTAGTTTCATTTCTCGGCCAATTTAGTTAAATACGAGTATTCGTTTCAAGTTAATCGAGCTAATGAGTCTTATTTTATAATTTAAACATTATAAAATATCTATAATGTTATGATATTATTTGATTCCAATTTAAATTGTTTCCTATAACCATATACAACATACTATATATTCCTCCATTTTTTTCCATATGTTATATACATATATTATGTAGAGTTTAGTCTCTCAACTAAAACTTGAAAATCAATCCACTAATTACTAAAAAAATTGAGCTATTCAAGTTCTATTTTATAGCTCGACTTGAATTTGAAACTTCTACGAATTGAGTCAGGTCTAGTCGAGTTTTGTTCACTTCTAAATTTAGTAATGTCTAAGCCTTCTTAATATAAGGCTTAACCAGAAAATTAGCCCTTGAATTATACTTAAATTTCTATTTTGTCTCTTAATTTTTTTATTTGTTATAATTACTCTTCAAGCTTTATACTGCCATTATTTTTTGCCCCTTTCACTGAAAAAGTAAAAAAAAATGGCATGACCCTTTTAGTCAATCGATGAGTAAAATATGAGGGCCAAATCAAGAATAAAGTATAGTTTATGACTCAAATAGAGAAAAAAATATAAATATATGTACACATAAAAATTAAATTTTGGTGAGTTTGAGAATACCCTTGCCCCCTATTTTGTCATTAGATTTTTTTAAAATAATACTTTTAAAAAACCACGAGAACAAGATTTATTTTTTTAGATGTTTATATTTTTAATCCCTAAACTCGACTGTTAGATTGAATTAAAAGCTTTATTTAAGCTTACATGTCTCCTTCAATGTATTTAACGTTTAATTGTAAAAAAAAAAAACATCTTAAGACCCTTCAATCAATTAAAATACCAAGAAGATGGAGAGAAGAGGAAAGATGACGAAAACAAAAACAAATAAAATAATGTAAAATATTTAAACTTCTTTTTTAATCTCAGTTTGTATATTAATTGTGACTCAGATCGGCCAACTTACATCATTTGTTTGGAAAAATCTTATGTTGAATCCAAACCAACACACAATACATAATTTCTCCTTCCTCTATCCAAATTGAATATCGAGCAATGACTACTAAATGGATTGTGAACTTAAATAGTTGAAGGGTTTGTTTCTATTTCCTAGCATCCATCGTTAGACTTCAATAAAACAAGAGTTGGAAATAATACGTAAATGGTTTAATTAAATTATGAGATTAGGTTATAAAAATAAAAATTTATTGTCAAAAAGAAAAGTTAAAGTTACATAAGTATTTTACATTAATTTAAAAACATATCGTTCAGATTCGATAAAGATAGATTTAAAATTTTAAATTTTCATGCGAAATAAAAGAAAGCATATATATATATTTACTCGTGATTTAAGAAAAAAGTACATCTCATAAAAAAAGAATCTAAAATTTCAGTAGTAGCCTTTCTTGGTATGCTTAGGGATACCAACATGATGCAACCAGCCAAACCCTTTGAGTGCTTTGGAGATCTTAACAAAGTTGGGCCTCATTCCCAAATTCATCTTCCCAGTCGAGAACTTGAGAGCCTGTAAACAGCACAAATGACCATCCGACTCTTCCTCGTAGTCCTCGTCATCTTCATCTTCTATGCCATGGCCACCTTTCTTTCCTTTCTTCCAGCTGCCAAAGCTCTTCAGCTTCGACTTTGTGGAACCATTGCTCTCGTATGTTTCCCAGAGTAAATCCATCCCTTCACCACCTCCATCCACCGTTGCAGCCTTCGCGTTGTGTCTCTCCTCGAAAAGCTTGCATGCCAATGTCCTTTTCCACTCCTTTTCTCTCCTCAGTGATCCCAAATTCCCAAAACTTGATGCTGTTGTTTCGTTATTAATGTAATTATCGACATAATCAGCAGCCTTCACTCTTTGGGAACTCACCATTGCTTTTCCCCCAACCTCCTCGCCATTTCTGGCATCCATTGTAACCTTAGGATCACTTATTTTACTCCCCATTGCCTTGGATTCCTCGTCTTTTCCGTCCCCATCTTTTTCTTGCAAAAACTCTTCAAAGATCTTCACTTCAGCATTTACCTGAACAGTTACCGGTCGTGAAATCTCCGCCAATTCTTCATCTAAAGTAGTTCTACTGGTCAATGTTTCAGGGTTGTGAACCAAAGCTTCGTCAAGTTCTTCAACAGCTTGTAAGCAATCAACAGTGGCTTCCGTCTCCAAAACTTCATCTGGGTTTTCTCTAATTTCAACGATGGTTGACGTTTCAAACACGATCTTGTACGCTTCAAGCTCCTCCAAGCATGGTAAGCCATCACTTTCATCCTCGACCACTTCGGACCTTAATACTGTGAAAAATGCAAGCACCAAAAGGGAAGTGGTGACAAAAAGTGGTGAAAGAAAAGTGAAGATCTTGAAAAGATAAGGAGAGAAGAAGATGAAATAAGAGAAGTAGAGAGGATTATTAACAATGTAAGAGCAGGAGAGCAAGAAGTTAGAAAGCAAAAGGCTTGAAAACTGGGTTTTATTCTTCACAACAGTGGTTGAAGCAAAAGGAAACACAGACATTATTTTGATGAAAATTAGAGGGAGAAAAAAACACACAGAATTCTGGGTTTGGTTTCCTCGATCTGGTTAGGCAAGTGGCAAAAACAGAAGTGAATGGAACCGGGGGAGTGAGAACGGCGTGAATAAAGGGAAGAGATAGATTTTTAAGTATAATTGAGAAGAAACAAAAGCTACTTTGGAAACTTTTTTCATGTCTATTATCACCAACCATCATGATTTTTCCCCATGTCTAATCGGCTATGATTTCGTGTATATAATTGGCAAGGAATTTATATCTACCAAGAAGATGAACATTAAGCAAAACTATCCTACTCAATTTCTTAAAGGAGATTCCCATTCCATTGAAATTACGCCTAAATTTGTTCTTATGAAAGTTTCTGAAACCAATCCCACATGAAATCATTGATTCAAGTCAAGCTTAAGATGTTAAACTCAATTCAAACTCAAAATCAAAAATTAAAACTAGACCCAAACTCAATTTTTTTTAACTTATACATTCTCATACTTAGTTCGATTGGATCTCAAATTTGAAATCAAACCTAAACTTTAATGACATGAAAACCTTACATTGCATTTAAAAAATAACATACAATGTTATATTATTAATAAGTTATTTTAAAAAAAAATTGTAATATATTTTTCGAGTCGGAGATCAACTAGTTCATTTCGACTCATTACGAACTTGAATCGAGTTCAAATTCAATTCGAATGTTGACCAAACCTTGATCGAATTAAATTTGAGTAACTCATAATCTGTCTTATCTCATTTACGATGTTATTTGAGTGATGTGATAAGTAAATAATTTATGCATCACATAGTAGCTTTAGGTTGAACACTAGAAGAGTGTTTCACAATATGAGAATTCGACAAATCACTCCGGTTTATGTTGAAGTATAAGCTTAAATATATCCTTTAACATCTTTGAGATATGTAATAGAAAATTGGAGACCAAATCTATGTACACATTTGATTGACGAAGGAGGTTGGACTAGGTGCACATGCGAAGGCAATAATGGGCACTTAAGTGGTTGCACCATAGTAGTAGAAATTCTAATGTACATTTAATTATTTTATCCCCTATGGTTTGACTACGAAAATCTTTCATTATTTATTACTCAATAAAACATTGTGTCCAATCTTTGGTGAAAAAGCTAAAGTGAAAAAAAAGGAAGGTAGCTTCGGAAAAAAGAAAAGAAATTTCTTTTTTCGTCTTGTCGGAGTGGAAAGATACTAAAGGCAAGGGTGGGCTTTTTTTTCTTAGACAAACATGGTCCCTCGTAGGTGCACTATATATCTATCCACACTCTAAAGGCTCAAATAAAATTTAGGGTAAAGTACATAAATAGTCCTCCGACTATAAAGTACTGCTTTATTAAGTTCCTCAACTATTAAATGTTACAAAATAGTCATCCAACTATAGAGTGTTGCTTTGTTGAGTGTCTCGGCTATTAAAAGTTACAAAATGGTCACATGATTATTCATTATGTTCCTAATTTGTTCTTTTTCGTTAAAAACATAACGATATTATGAACTGAATGTTAACCTACTGACTGTGATATGATAAAATACGACTCCAAAACCTCAAACGACTATCATAGCTCAGTCATCATATTAACGTCTAGCTTAGATACCACTAATTTTTTAATAAAAATGCCGAATTTAAAACATAATAAATAGTCGTGACTATTTTGTAACTTTTAATAGTCATTCTGATAAAACAATATTCTATAGTCAAATGACCATTTTGTAACTTTTAATAGTCGAAAAACTTAATAAAACAATACCTTATAATCGGTGGATCATTTGTGTATTTTACCTTAAAATTTAAGATCATCTCAAACAACAATTTATGTTAATAACGTGTCTTATTATTACACCCCACCCAACACTACTGATTATCATCTCCGAAAACGAATAATACCTACCCTAAACTCAATCTGACCGAGCATTTTGTGTTTACAGACTAGCTGAACTTAGACATTGAACATAAATGATTCATCCACCGATTTGGATGGAACAATTTTCAGCAACGCGTTGAATGAATGAATTCCCCAATATGAAAAGATTAACTAGAGATACACAGAAATATCAAGGAAGATTTAGCTATCAGACTCTACAACCAAAAAGCCATGTTGGTCCATAAAACTCATGATGGCTTCGTACGTTATGATGAGAGCAAATGGGACCCAAAGACCAACTGTCAACATGTCCTCTACGAAGAGAATGATTATCATTTAGATGTGTTTAGATCAGAATGTAAATTATCAGTGATAATATAAAATTATCAGATAATAGAATTATTAGGAATGTTATATTTTGTGTTTGGTTAGCTTAGTAGGAATATAAGATTACCGTGTTTGGTTAAAAGAATAAAAAATTATTGAAATATATATTTGACCAAATTGTCGTTATTATATATTTGTTATTTTAACAAGTTAGAAAATATTTATATATTTTCTTTAAAAATTTAATTCATAAAATTTATATAATTGTTTTATAAAATTGAAAATATAAAAAGGTTTAATGAAAGGATAAAATTTTATTTTAATCTTGAACTTCATATAAAATTTTAATTATAGATTTTTTTATAAATCTAAAATAGTTTAAGGATAAATTTGTAATTTAACATTTGTATAATTTTTATTATTCAATGAAAGAAGAAGGGTATTTTTGAAAAAAAATTTAAGGGTATTTTAATCCAAAACGTCGATAATCCAACAATACCTAAAGAAAATGAGATAATGACATTCCTAGTACCAAAAAATCCACTATTAGTAATCTTACATTACCGGAAATGGGATTCCCGGACTAACTAAACAGGAGAATGTAGATTCTATTCCCATAAAAATCCCACATTCCTCCCATCCAAACGCCCCCTTAACTTTAGAGTTTTTGCCCCAAGGGGAAAAAAGGTTACTAATTAATCCATAGAGTAACCATATTAGCTATGTAGATGATTAGTTTAGAGTTGAAGTAATCATCATATTATCCACTGGTATCCATTAAACTAACCTCGTCAGCTTACAGATCATCATTGTTTTGTTTCGAACCAGAAACGGAGCTACTGCAAGTATGAATGGAAGCACTTTGCATTTAATCCATGGGCAAGTGTGCAACACACTTCATGAGGGTGTGCTACCATCTCAATGTGTAGAAGCATTGCCGATCCTAAAGCCGGAAAATTTCTAAATATTGAAACGAAATTTAAAAAAGCATTAGAAGCTTGAAAACAAGTCTTCCCACTCGAGCAAACAAAAAGAAGAACCATCAATTATGGTAGTTCAAAACATCCACAACAAATTAGGGTTTTCATAGCAAGTATCTTAGAATTTTAGAACATTTGATACCCTCTTGTCTCCCACATTCTATAGCATACTAAACCCTAAACCAAGAGCACCTACTACTCTGTCATGATTGGCTTATTCTCATTTGCTTTGGGTTTCTTTTCCTTTGGCTTTTGCTCCTCCATTTTCCTGAAAGATGGAAGCAACAGTTGAGTCAACATGTCGAAAGTATATCATCATAACAAAAACTTCTCTTACGATAGATAAGATTGCAGCAGGTTAAGGTAAACCCCAAGGTAGCAGGTTGTAAAAGATCCATTAGAAAACCATCATATAATCATTGAACATATACATGGGAGAGGAAATATGAAATTCAAAATGTGTAGCAAACCAAAACTACCAAAACCAAAACAGAACATTTCTCTAAATTGTGAACACAGCCACATATAGGAAACTAGTCACTCTTGTCAGATAAAAAGAACTTGCCAGAAAACATGCTTAAGTGAGTGAGCATTCGTGCAAATAGAGACAGAGGACTGAGGAGCAATAAGAGCTTCCTCTATTGGATAGGACAAAGTAATGACGAGAAGGGTCCTACTATTATGAAAGGTATATGTCTAGTATTATATGGATTTTTATAGATGTATCTCCCAAAATAAAATGAAGGCGTCCAAAGCTCCCATTTTTATCAGTACCTGTCTAACTCATTGAATCTTTAAAAAGGCATTAAATTTTTTCTCTAAGTTTAACATTTAAGCAACTATCAGTCCTTAAAAACGAAAACTCTATATAAACAATAATTTCTTAATTCAATATATGTTTAAAAAGTGTGGGGTTTTCTTTCCTTACAACAATGATCTGCACATACAAATTCTAGGAACCATAATTCTATGTTTCGAACATATACATTTGCTTCCATAACCATTCTTTTCTTAAATCGTGTATCGAACTTGTTATAATATGTTTATTTAAATGGTGGTGCACTAGCATATGTATTTGGTCCTAGTCTATAGAAATCCTAGCTCAACCACTGAGTTCCATTAAGCACCATTCTATTAAACGTTTAAAACAATTAGCAAGCGAATATAAACGTCAGATTCATGTTGTTCACAATCATAAAATCAACAAATCGATCATCGTTCACGCTACTCACATCGAAATATAACAAGAGAGGGATACATATATAGAGAGAGAGGGAAAGAGAACCTCTTGTCGGAGGAGCCGCCCTTCTGGCTGAGGAATGAGCGGAAGAGAGGAGAATTGACGTCGTAAATCATTTTTGTCAAAGGAAGCCCTAGCTAGCACACAGTACTATAACAACTTCATTGACCTAGCTTGGTGAGGATTTTGGGTTTATTAAGAACTTGAACCGCCGCGATCTCGATACCTTCCAGTATTTGTGGGTTCTTTTTGAGGGCATCGCCCATAAAACTGCTATGACTCGTCAATTTGGGCCTCTGAGTGGATAATTGACCTGGCCCTTCAACTAATACATTTTCGGGATCCAACCCATTAACATTTTGCAAACTTCCTGGTCCACGGGTTGTCTCTAGTTCTTCTAGTTTGTAAATGGCCGACGCTGATAAACATCGGTATTGCAGACCCAAAAAAGACGCACAAATTGTTGGTTAATTTATTCATCAAATATCTCTGGAAATAAACTCAGCAATCTCCCCTTTTGAACCCAGAAAAAGTTTCCCAACTGAATCCGATGGCATCCCCCAACCATCAAGGAGAGTCCCCATCATCGTCGTCGTCATCAGCCTCCAAGGACTGGTGGCGTCGAATATTGATCCCTACGATCCTTGCAGGTATTTTGCCCTCACCCTCTGTAATTGTTTTTTTTCCTTTTAATTTACTGAAACATCCAGGAATCATGAATGTTTGCGCGGTTCTCTTTGTTTGAAACAGGGGTTGCTGGTGGAGGATTTGGGTTGGTTTCAAAACATCGAAAAATCCATGGTCTGGCTAATATTTCAGCCACTTATGCCACTAATTTTGCTATTGTCACCGGCTGCTATTGTGGTATTTATTTTAATTCCCATTCTCTTCATTACTATTAGTTCAAGCCATTAGCTTTTTAGAAGTATTTAGTTGTATCTGATCAGTATTTTATAAAAGCCAAAATCTTTGTAGTTTTCAATTGTAGATTTGTACAGGAAATGTAAAATTGTACTGTAATTTCAACCATGATTTGAATAGAAGAGAAACCATAAGTTTCATCATCTATAACAGCCACACATTTTCAGTAACTAGTTCTTCCAAAGTATTTACTCTATTTTACACCTAGCAACTTTAAGAGAAACCAAAAAGGGTCTAACAAGAATTCCTGCTATTAATCTTATGCCATTGGTTGTAAAAGCGGTTCATTTTTTTGAGTGGCTTCATTTGTACTTGTATATAAATGCAAGTCACGGGAGAGTTTGCTTTGATCTTTCAAAATAAAGTGTGCAATATATATCCATGACATTGTTATTAATGGGAGTGACATGGTGGAAAAATTAAAGTAACTGGGGGCATAGACCTAGATAATGTGGTTGTTAGCCACCATGGATCGGTGCAATGGGGAGAAACCAAACAAGTTTAGAGTATTATCTTTAGGTTTTTAGACATTGGAAGTTAGATTTGATGCCTTGATGTAATTAATGTTAGAGAGTTTATATGTTCTCATCTTGTCAGAGTCGTAAGAATCAAGTTATCATTATCTTCTCATAACATAACTCGGTATCTTATCTAGGCACACTGAATTCATTTATCATGGTCATGTGTGAGTTAGCATCATAGTGTTGAACCCCATTCAAGATAAATCCTGTAGCGTGGATACTAAAAGCTACCCTCTCTCCCTGGTCTTGATTTGAACTAGTTTTATTGGATAAAATTATGTTACTCTAAAGGTTAATGCAACTTTGACTTGTATGAAAATTATAGGTTGGTAGCAAGTCAACATAGAGTCGTTGGGTGATTAACGTTAACGCCAGAAGCAATTGCTTTTCTGATTGATAGCTCAACTCATTGGAGGGAGACTGAAACCTCAGGACTTGTTAACAGAGAGATCAAGATCTTTTAGGGGTTTTTAAAAATTTCGATTTCATTTTATTGGTGGTAATCAGCCTCTTTAAATAAAGGTTATATAACTTGTTTGAATAATACTTGACTAAGACAATTGAAATAAAAGACTCTAAATAAAGAAAGACTCCTAAAGAAATAAGATACTCATAAATAAAGTCATATAATAAATTATTTTCTTAAAAATAAAAAATTCTTTCTGTAATTATTAAATCCTAATAATTAACCTGACATTACTTCTCTCTTGAAAAAAGAAATTGTCCACAAGCTCGAGATTTCATAGTTTGCACTTTATCGTTCTCTAGATCTGGTTCTGGACCATCTTCATCTGGTACTTCTACCATAATAATCTTTTGCACAAATGTCCTACTAAGTTGGGTTCATCACAGTTATAGCAAATATCCCTAGTCCTTTGTTCTTCCATATTTGAATGAATCGTTTTTTTAAACTCGCAGATTTGCTCTACCACAACTAGGGGCCCTTACCAACTCCATGCTTGGCTAGGATTTTCCCTTTGTATCAACAAAGATGGTCGTGGCCGACATTTTTTTTGGGTTGGATCATAGATTTTTCCAAGTAGTATTTTGCGGGCATGTATCTTGGGTTAGCTGATATTTAGTCTCAAAAGTCCATGCTAGATTCATTACTTGAATCAATTTGGATCTCCACAATAATTTGGATTAAATCTGAAAACTCCACAGTAAACAGACTCATTTGTTGGTCTGTCCTCATAGGATCCTCATGGGTTAATAATTCCTAAAATTGACAATGATAGTCTTCTATCGATCCCGTTTTGGTTCAATTTTGCTAATTCCCCCAAGGGGTTTTCCTGCAGCGGTGGACCAAACCGTAGAGTACAATACTCTTTGAAAGTCTTCCATGAGAGATCTGACCCTTCTTGCTACAATTGGTAGTATCATAATTGTACTATACTTGTTAGGTGAAAAGCAACTAATCCTACTATGTCAATTTCAGCCATCTTTTAATTTGAAAAGAACTTTTTGCATTAATACAACCAAATTAGTTGGTCTTTTGTCCTATCGAAAGTTGGAAAGTCCAACTTTGTATACGGTGGAACAATGCCTGACCCTGTTGTTGTCTTTGATTGGTGTCGTCTCTCTACAATTTAGCATCTGCCTACAACAATAGTATCTTGTCAAATTTTGACTCTAGCTTGTCGACTCTATTTTAGACTCGAATTCGTCTAATTCCTTTCACTTGATCAAAATAGCCCATTGTTCCTAAATCTTAGCTTAAAAGATTATTCTAATTAGAGTTGATATATGAAGATGACCTTGAGCCAGATTCGAAGAGGGACAAAGTGCGTAATATGCAATCCCGAGCTTACAAATAGGCTCTTTTTCTGGGAGGGTATTAATGTTGTGTTAATTATTAGTGTTTAATTAGTAGAGAAAGAATATTATTATTATTTGAAGGAGATATAGTTTATTATTATTTGAAAACTTTATTTATGAGTATCTTATGTCATTAGGAGTCTTTTTTTAGTCATTTATTTTAATTGTCATAGCAAAGTTTTTTATTCTAACAAGTTATGTAACCTTTATTTAAAGTTAGAGAAAATAAAATGAAGTTAGAAAATTTTTCAAAAAAAAAAAAAGATCTTGATATCTTTTAACGGGCACTGAGGTTTCAGTCCCTCAACGAGTTTAGTTGTCAATTACCCTAGGTTGTTCTAGGAGTAGTAATAATGGGAAGGCAATCGCTTCTGACATTCCCGTTAATCGTCTAGTAACTTGATCCTTATTGCGGGACCGTAACACGATGGTACTCCTAAAGGAAATTTTAGGCAACGTGTACTCGCATCGGGAAATGCATTAAACTTGTAACAGCTGAAATAATCTAATTATAAATTGAGACACTGCTTCCTTGAACCTTTTCCTTCTCCTGAATATGGCCTTTTACATCTTCCTTTTGAGAGAGCACATGCTTTCTGCTGTTTTTGAGCCTCACTGTGGTTGACTTGGTTTTCTTCTTAGGAAATCAAGCTCAGTAGGAGATATAAACTTTTTCAACTAGACAGATTCAATAGTTGATGATTTGGTAATTGGTATCATTGTCACCACATTTCATGCAAACAGTTCAATTGGATACTGCAATAACACTTCTAATTTGGCAGGAGCTCGTGAATTCGTAACAGCAACTCGTAAAACAGGACCTCATGATCTACTGAATTCTGCAATAGCTGGATTCGGCACTGGTGCTATATTGGGTCGTCTTCAAGGCAAATTTTATCGGTCTCTCTATACATTTGTGTGTGTATATATCCATGTGATTGTGTGATTCTGCTAGTGTAGATGAGTTCTGCATGCAACCCAGTTGTTTTAAGCAGTTAAAAGTGCTAAATTTGCTTTATTGTCACCTTTACATGACATCTCTTTTAAAAGTTTCTTCTGTGACATTTTAGGTGGTCAATTTGGTGCTTATCGCTATTCACTCATCTTTGCTGTTGTTGGGACAGCAGTGGATTTTACTGCCCTAAAGTTAAGGCCTAAATTACGCCATATTGGTGAATCTATGTTTGATAAGAGCGGTTCGTTGAAATTGCCAGAATGGTCTCCTATACAAGTGCTCGATGACGAAGCCCTTGCTGCAAAACATGCTCGAGAAGAAAAACTGCATGGACAAAGAAAAACTCTGGACAAAGAAAAACTCTGAGCAAAGAAGAATCGTGAGGGTGGACTATTTAGTCTTTTGTTCTTAATCATTCATGATAATGATTTTCGCCAGTGCTAGTTAAGCTGCTTGGCAGCTAGTATTGTATTTGCTGGGGATTAGGTTTGGTTTTGCTTTCAATATACAATAATAATATTCTTTGTTTACATTAGCTGTAATTTGGGATTCTAAACATCCTTCGATAGTCAAAAATAAAAAAAAAGTTCATTTCTACGATCTTTGAGATATCTAAAAATTTCTAATATTTCTCTAGACACTTGAGCTTCTCTAGGTCTTTCTTATTACCGGAGGGTATTCTCCCCCGATGATAAACCTTGACAGTTTCTATGGATGGCTTTAAATTCATCATATTTGACATGGTGTTTTCCCATATTTCTCCATCGAATTTGATGGTGCCATCATCGAGCCTACGCAGGGCAAGCTGAAGCCTTCATTGTCAGCTGCCTAGCATTGTTGTGTGTTTCCTTCTTGAAGGTAAGCTTCATTTTTTATCAGCAAAAGTTGAATCCCATAACTCGCCCTGTTCTTTGATGGTGATATATTGTTTTTGAATCCAATCTGAGCTATTAGTTGTTTCTGGCATCAAGCAATAATCCGTTACATATATCATCATTATATAGCAGTTCCTAAAAACAGATTAGTTTGCATCTTTTTTACATTCTGCATCAATAAATGGTTAAGAGAGATTTTACTGTTGGAATTAAGTCCTCTTTAGCAAGATACTCTGAGTTGGAAATCAATTCAAAACCCTTGGATGCAATAACTATATTATGTCTATTGCTTTTTTCGTTGAAGGCACTTCTGATACAAGGACGCCCTACTCCACTTGATGAAGGCAAGGCTTGCACTTTGATTGTAGGACCTAGGAAGGCAGAAAATATTCCTACAATAAAAAAAAGAAGCTCAAACAGAAAAAGGTTAAATGAATAAATAAGATGAAAGATAGAAATGGCAGTTCGAATAAAGATGAAAATGGAAATATGTTTAAAGGATATGAAGAAGTATAGTTGGGTGGTATGGATATATGGTGATGGAAGAAAGAAGTATGGTAATGGTTGTGAAGAATGAAGATAGTATCTTAAGGAATCAAACTAAGTTATATTAAAGTTTAACCCTAGACCTTATAGATATCTTGAGGGGTGGTATTTAAGGACTTTGATTCACTAGGTATAAAGACCTAGGAACCAAAAATATCAGGGTGGAATAGAGATAGGTGAACGCCACAAGGACAAGAGCACTTGATAAGCCGATAGAGTTCTCAAAGAACTAGAAAGAGAGAAAATCTCACAAGTATATTGATATGAAAAAGGTATACCTTACAAAGCCAAGGCATTGACTATTTATAACAAATGAAAGGGTATAGGCTGAATAATTATGCAATGATTTGGCTTGGTGCTTTCCCTTGGCAAATACATGTTGTTTTAAAGAATATTCATGACTTTTAATGAAAGTTCATGCTTTTTTCTGAATGATTAAGTGTTGGTTTGGCCTCAATGATGAATGCACATGTCCTTGGGTGAATAATGAGGCGTTGGTTAGGTTTTGGAGTCTTTTGAGTGCTTGGAAAGTCTTTTGGCTGAATGTGCATGTCCCTTGCTATTTTAGGAGCCAAAATTGAATGCATATGACCATTGGATGATGGCACATGCTTGAAAGGTGCTTGGTCGAATGGTGATGATGCTTGGTTAAACGAATCCTCATTTGCACATGACTTCCACTTCACAGCATAGGTTCGACCATGGTGCATGCTTGGAACATGATGTGTTCTAGGTGCTTAAGTAGCTAGCTAGTTTAGGTAAGTAGCTAGTGACACTCCAACTACCTTAGCTCACACTCCAACTACCTTAGCTCACACACCAAGTGCCTTTAGTCCTCATCTCAGCTCTAGCTAGGTTCAACTGCCCTTCAGCTCCTTCAACTACTCTCCAGTTAGGTTCAGCTACCCTTAAGCTCTTTTACCTAACTCCCACATGCATTATGCTACCTTTGCGCTAGGTGAGCTATTCTTTAATGCCCACGAGCTAGTGTGAGCAGCCATAACTTGTAATCTTTATCTTCGAGCTGTCATAACTTGCTTTAGCTTCCCAAGTACCTAAGTAAAGCATGGAAACTAATAATTAGATATGACATGAGCTAGGAAATCAATTCATACATGTTTTCGAATGACGCAAATGATATGCAAGCTTAAGTAAACAATGTGTAACATAGTACACGCATGAATTGAGCTAAATAAAGATGTGGAAACATATGGTATGCATGACAACCGTATAATATGCAATCATTGAACATAACGAATGATAAACATATGATAAGCATATTCTAATATGTAAATTCAAACAAATAGTAAGATATAGTGCATAAATGAGCAAATATAAGATGAATTAAGGTAGAACTCCCTTAGAATCAACCAAGAAGAAAGTTGGGGCTGGTTAGGATCACATCATCCCCTTTTCTTTTAAGTTATTTTTCCCCAAATCGATGCTTGCTACAAATGGGAACAATCTTGACTACCTTCGGGCAGGGAACATCTTCATTCTTGTTTTGCTTAAACACCATTCTTCGGGATTAAGTTTTGCTCGCTTGTGCACTACACTTCCACTTTGTTCATCTGAATAGGCATATGTTCTTTGAACTCATTCTTTGTGCTCCTTTGAATCATCATGTTTTTTGTGATGAGATATGTCTCTTGGACTTTTTCTTAAAGTTGATTTGAAGCATCACATCCATGGGAGTAAGAACACGTCCTTTGTTCTGAAACAAAACGCCCTTTAAAGAAGGTATAAATGTAACGTCCTAATCCAATACGACACGAAGATTGAAGGAATATGATGTCACCCTGACCACCGGAGTGGCTAACCTAATTTTTTTAAATAACATTTTCTTTCACATAAAATTTATACTTTGATATAATCGACAAGGAAACACTTAATAGTTCATTTACAAATTCGGGAGCCCCAAAATGACTTGAACATATGCTTACAAAACACTTATACATAAAGTTTTGACTCAAAATACAAAAGTCCATATACAATACAGGCCTACTAAAAATAAGCCTAATACGTACTCAAAAGCTGGAAGATGGTGCTATGTGGTCTAGGCGATGGCTCATCCTATTAACCTACACACGAAAACAAATTTCGAGCGCTAAGCTCACAAGATCAATGCCACACTAATAACCAAACTATACTACATGCATCCTCTAATGAATATACTTGAAACATACTTGTTAGCATACGAGTATGCTAAACTAAATCATACATACACAAGTAGGCATAATGGTGCGAATGAGGGATTATAACTCGGAGCTCACGCACCCCTTTATCCTACCTAGGGTGGAAATCCGAAATTCTACATCAGATTGAGTCACCCGTTAACTTGCTCCGTCGAGCCTTGGGGCATCTACACCCAGTTAGCAAAGAAGTGTCTAATGCACAATCTTAGGGTTGACCATATCTTAACATACAAACGTTCCTTGATTTTTTTATAAGGGTTCAAGTGTCTGATTTGTTTCTCGAACATCATACAAGCAAGTCTTATGATTCCCTATAGTATATGGTTTCTAAATGAAATTTACTTTATTAATATAGTTATCACTTGATTTCTTATTGAAGGAATAAAGAGTGGTTTGGGTCTCTCAACAATCTTTCTAAAATTCCCACAATTTCTTATCTTTGAGAAAGAGGTAGTATCGATACTGGCTTATCAGTATCGATACTAACACAGGAGTATCGATACCCCCATTCGAGTATTGATACCAACCGCTTAAAATCAACCTTGAGAAAATGAGTAGTATCGATACCCCTATGGGAGTATCGATACTCAACCCTTGGTATCGATACTCTCATGAATATCAGTACCAAAATGGTGTTATGGAAAATCGATATCGAAACCCCTCTTTCAGTATCAAAACTGGGCCTATAGTACTGATACTCTATGCATGAGTATCGATATTTTTGCTTAAAGTTCTTTGAATTTTTGCCTTGCCTAAGAACAATATCGATATTAATCCATCCAGTATCAATACTAGAACCTGAAAATATCATGTTTTGGCATCTTCAACCTTTCTAAACTACCCAAAAAAGCCCTAAAGAGGTTCCCTAACATTATTAATGTCTTATTTGAGTTTATTAAGGTCTTAAAGAGTCATCATATAACTTTAATACACATAAACTTGATATCTACCATGAACATGCACTTAATCTTTCAGTAAATGATTACTAACTCATTTAGAGGCTTGGATTAAGGTTAAGAATGTTTCTTATAACTTAAATCAATAAAAAATGAGGTAGGATCTCTTGTTGAATCTAAACCTCCCTAAAACCCATTTTGAAATTAACTCAACTAAACTTAAATCTCATGGAGAGTTGATCTTTGCTTCACTAAAGATAGGAAGAAGATGAGTAGAAGGATGAGATAGCGAGGAAGAGTGTTTGGTGAGATTAAGGGGGAAGTGGTTACGTAAAATCAAATAAAATAAGGGGGTTTTAGCTTCTGATTTGAAAAATAGAAAATCCCACTTTAGGTCATCCTCTTTTCAATTCTTATTAAACTCATCCCAAAACCTAACTCTTGGGCCAAAACTAGCCCAATCCCAACTTAATTAGATCCACATTTTTCCAATAAGCCCCTTTTGGCTCTATGTATGAATGGGTCAACCCGAACTAGTAACCTGGGATTTGGGGTATTACAATATAACTCTTTATCTTATTTCTTTGAATCACAATGATGGTTGGTGAAAAGTCTTATCCTTTGAACTCCTTTAGGTGTGTAGGTCACGCCAACTCCTTTAATCTTGAATAGGTGGACAATGATTATTTCATACTCTTGAATCGACTGATTTTGGACAGAATATATGCTTATAGAGTGGTCTTGTTTTTGATGTGACAATCATCCTCCAAATGACAAAGGAACTTGTCATCATAGGTTGATAAGATAACTCCATGCACATGAATTATCTTACTACAAAACAAACCAAATTAGTAAATGAAAAGCTATTAACAAAATGAATGGAAATAACAAACCAATGTGGGTGTTTAGTGAGCGTTGGTTGTTGAGTTTTCTTCAAGATTGGCATTGCACTTGGAATATCAACAAACAAAACTATTGGAACTTCAAGTGATATATTCTTTGGAACTTTAAATGGCATAAATCTTGAAACATAAAGGCTCTTGTCTTGTGAGTCTCCAAAAGTCACGCCTATTGGTTCTTCAAAGGA